TGCACCAGATGTAAAGCTTCTCTGGTCACAGAGTGCTTGAGCAGGAACCATAAATCGAGAAAGAACCCTCAAATTGTGAGGCAGCTTTGCATGGAGGAACACAACTTAATCCAGAACCAAATATGTTGTATCACTATAATCAGAGGGCTTTGGTACCTACTATTCAGTTTTACTCTGCTCCTCCCCATCCTGACTTTAATATAAGATGGTGGAGATAGAGGTCAGCATCTCTACCTCTTCCACCATATCAGCTATTCAGCCAGAGGCAATTGATTTATGTCATCTACATATTGATAACTCATCCCATGCTGAGCAACATTAAGTCAAACCTGGAAGCTCATGTAAGAGAGGGGGATCCAAACTCCACAGCACCCCATAAGTGAATAACCACCATTTGGCCTTTTTCCACCCTTCGCCAACTGAAACAAAACAAGACCCACATTCCCAACACTTGCAACTGGTCCAACAGGATACCATGATCAATAAGATCAAATGCCAATGATAAAAATAAGCAAGATCAAAAAGGTCACATTCCCCCTATCTCAGGAGGGGATAAACTTACAGCCCATGGGCTGGATGCATCACGCACTGGCCACGTCCATGCCCACTTTAATGAAGGTGGAAGTCATGTGACGACGCCATGACGATGCCCTGCCCTTTCCTAATCTCACCTGAAGTTCAGCAATCAATACAGTTTCAATTGGATAGCAAAGCCTGAATCCAAACTCAGATAAGGCTCTAGATAATCTGGATCCTCCAGAAGTCTACATACATGGAATAGCTTTGTTATCTGTTTCTAATTTCTTTACTTGTGTGAGTAAGCAATTGTTTGTAGTTAGCTTGTGTCAACTTGTAATTAGTTACTGGCAGTTTTCTTCAGCATCTTGTATCAATCTGAAAGGATATGAAAGGAAAAAGGAAAGAAAATAGATCAAAGGGAGGGGCTACTTTATGCTCTTTAAAAATTGTACCAAAGCAGAACAAAGGTTCATGTTTAACATGGCTGTTCAGGCAAAGCAAGGTTTCTTGGCATAAATCTGGTTGGTTGGTTGGTTGGATTGACTGTTCTGCAAATTGTTGTAAGTGAAGTGCTCCAACTGCAGGATGCCCTAGATCAGAATTTCTCAACCTCAGCTACTTTAAGATGTGTGCCCTTCACCTCCCCAACTGCCATGGAGGAAGAGGCCAATATCTGAGGGCCAGTTTAATTTCTAGCTGATTTATGCATGCCACTCAAGTGTGGAAAAGTCTCAACTTGCCCCGGTTTCCTTCAGAGTAAGCCAGTTTAAAACTGCATTAGATAACACCAAGTCGGGATGATAGGCTAACTTGCTTTTTTTTTTCTCTTGACTGTTCTTTAAAGAAGCTACTTTCCATATAAGCTGTCATCCTTCTATCATGTTTTGACATTCTGCATTTTAAACAGCTCTTTTTTATTTGCCAGAAACACAATAACAACAGTATTCCCAAACTGATCTCTCTAGAAGTATTCCTTCCCTCAGGACTAATGCTGTTTATCAGCAATATATTTCATTTCCATACGCAGACTTGCAAAACGATACTACAGATGTACAATTTTCCACGAAGACATTGCCAATCCCACTGAACTGAGTTTGATATTCAGGTCAAGACAAATCTTGGTCTCATGCCAAGGGTTGAGGAAGCCTATTGGCCAGCATTCTGCTAGATTTTCATGAAGAGGCCCAACCTGACAGATCCTAGCAAACTTCCAGTAAAAAGATAGACGGTCACTGATCAGGGGAGCAAAGAAGTACCAGCCAACCGGAAAGCCTCATAATGTTCTGGAAAGGCCTCCAGAACAAGCAAGAGAGGAGAGGCCTCCACCCAATAGCCTCATTTGTATGCAGCTGCTGATGGCAACCAACAAACACCAACCAGCCTGGAAAACAAAAATCGTTCCAGACTGTTGAGCTCAAGCTTAAAATATTCCAAAAACAGATGCCCAAATCTCCTTCTGGCCAGTCCCGATTATTCTCTCTGGAGCTTTAGATGCCACCTTCTTCAACATGATATTCACTTAGTATGTTTATTGCGGTGATACTCAAAATTCCCATTGGGGACATGTTAGATGGGGTTTCTGGGAACTGGAAAGCAGCAAGGTTGAGTATATGAGAGAATCTGTTTAGAATGAGATGCATTACTGGAACCAGTGAATTGTTTTAATATGTTCCAATTTGGAAGTTTAGTCACGAAGGAGAAAAATGTATTGCACTAAATACCTTGACTAAATATATACTTGTGTTCCAAATTAAAAAGCAAAGATAGAAAAGGTATTATAAATGAATCCAGCCATTAGGCAGTTTCAAGCATAGAAAGGTCTGAGGCAGAAGAACAGTAGAATAAAAGGACATTCAGAATATTCATTATAGATTATTATAATGAGTTCTTGGTTGGTTGGCACATTCATGAACTTTGTTTAGCTATGGAAGTGTTTTGCTGTTGCTATCTTCTGGGGTATTTTGGATGGTCCTCCATTTAAATACAAGCCAAGTTTGATACTGTGAGCTTCCAAGATTAAAGTAGGCCAGGAGCTGCTATCATTCATTCCTCTCATTTATGAGAGATACTGAAATGTTTCTCAGCATTACAGCTCCCTCTGTCTATAAAAGCAAAACATAACAGCTTAAAAAAAAAACACGAGGTAGTGGAAAGTTGAGTTTTATGAGCTTTGGGGATGGGAGGTTTTAAGAGGCAAGGTCTTTATTTACAAACAATATAAAAAGATAACAAAAAACCCAATCTAGTTTATGGGGCTTGGTATTCAAATGAGTAATCAGATTCAAATCTCTATAAGGATTAAGGTATCTAATTCATCCCTTACATTCCCCACCTTAAAAAATGAGCCCAAATATTTTAGCCTTATGCATTTTGAGACAGCTTGGGTTGCACCGCAATTGGGCCACTCTTAAAAGTTCAGATGAAATCTATTTTTGTGCAGGTTTGTGACTTTCAAGATGCGATCCCAGCAGAGAATTGTTCTTTTCTTTCTTCTGAGACAACCCTTGGAAGACTTGAGCAGCTGCAGCTACATTAAATAAGTTTTCACTCTCATGTTGCAATGTTTCTGATCTGACAAATGACCAAACTCCACCTCACCAAGCCACCTGAATGTTCCAGTCTTCAAATAGGTTATGCAGATCTCAGCTACTGATTTTGACTGAAATTTATTTCTTTAAAGGTTTCCCTGTCCAGTCATGTCCAACTGTAGGGGCGGTGCTCATCTTAGTCAAGGGAGCCAGTGTTGTCCGAAGACATTTCTGTAGTCATATCACCAGCATGACTATGCACAGAGGTGCATGGAACGCTGTTATCTTCCCACCAAGTGGTACCTATTTATCTACTTGCATTTGCATGCTTTCATGGGGCAAGTAACTGAAGTTCATGCCATTTAGTGGCACCCAGGGTCTTAAACCTGGGGTGTCAGCTTTCCTGCTGACAAGCTCGGTGTCTTTAATGCTGAGACATCACACTCTCTTTTATTTCTTTAGCTCCAGCCAAATATAAATAAAAATAAATCAAAATAAATCATTCACAAACTAATATATACAAACGCCATCACTTTACATGCAATTATTTATCCAAATTAGTTCACAAAACAAGGGGAAAATGTTTTGTTGTAAATTAAAAGAATCAGAATAAGATTCCCAAGAGACAAATCTATGATTAATTTAAATATTTAACTGATGTTGTCTACTGGTAGCTACTTTTGTGAGCCTAGTTACGTGGGACTGCTGTATGAAGCAAAACAAATGTGATTTGTAGGCATGAGATTGTTAGCTGGATGGATGCAACAGAAAGTTACCCAAAAGTTCCTTTGATCTAAATGAATTCATTAAATTTAATCAGTTAAATTGTATGTTTTTTGCTTATTCAACATAACAGGTCACATGATAGCAACTTCAACTTAAGAAATAATCAACAGATTTAAAAAAAAAATGTATTCAAGATTTGCCATGGGATTTTAATCCAATTTCAAAAATTCAAAACTTTAATCTTAAATCTAAAATGTTTCAATGTATCCCTGGAAAGCAATTTCAACCAAACTTGGTACACAGATGACTTCCTCTCTGGAAGAAAATACAGTGGGGATAAGACACCCCTAACGTCTCTTGGGATGTGTGTTCTGTTAAGATACAGCCTGTTATGCCTTAAAATGGCTTCTACCGGACTGTCGTAAAATGGTTTCTACTGTACAGCGCAGTGGAGTTGCCATGTTAAAGGCTTCACAATACTCCACACGGGGGCTCCCTCTGGTAAGGGGGAAAATCCAACATTAAAAATTACATTTTCAACATGACTGATTATTTTTGAGGACTAATGCGAACGGCTTAGTGAAAATATCACAGACAAGAAGCCATTTCTAAATCAAGATCAGAAAAAAAGCATACCAAATGATCATGGATCAGCTAGCAAAACAACAAGGTGGTATCACTTTTCTTGACGCTTCTGGGGGCACAGGGAAAACATTTGTAACTAATTTAATTGTCGCCAAAATCAGGGCTTTTCTTTTCTACTATAGGATTAGGATAAATACCTGAGCAATGCCGGGTTATCAGATAGTACGTAATAAAAAGATATCTAAAAGTAGAATTTATCCCAATTCACTATCTTGAAATTACCTTCTTCAACACCTCTGAGAAAGGTTGGTACTGTTCAGAGAAGGCAAGAAAGTTATGCAATTGAACAGATGATCACTTGATGTTTGCCAGGTAAGCAATTTCTCATCACTCCTCTCTCTTCCTCTCTGATCTCCTACATGTGTGGCTGCTTAAACAGATCTTACAATGTTCAAGCCAATATCTTATGACTAAAAAGATGGGGAAAGGGGAAAACAGAGAATGCATTATTTAAGGGGAATAATAGCACAAATTTCTGCCAATATATGCAGAGAAACATTGCAGATCATAATTTGTCCACGTGTCTCAGCTCAGTAAGAGGAATCCAAATTATCTAAAATTTAAAAAACCCATAGACAATCATAGGTTTAAATAGTTTTATGTGTCAGTTAGAACAAGATTCAGGTGAAGACAGAAGACAATTATATACAGATGGTTGAATCCTTCAGAACAAAATCACTGAACTTGGGGAAACTGTCTGGATGACTTCCAGTGAGAAAATAACAGCAGTCTCAGCAATGAACATTTATGTAAGGGTAACAACAGCTCAACAATTTAGTTGCAGGATATAACCCAAAGCCAACAACATAGTACATTAAAAACAAAAAAAATATACATGTCCTCTAATTGGTTAAAGATGTTCTATTATTCAGAAGAATCCCTTGAGTCACCTCTTAAAATTATTTTGCAGAAAAGTTGATATTTCCGGAAGTTTAAAGTAATCTTTAATTAAAATGGAAAATTTATACTGAATGTTTAGAAATTATTTAGAATCATTTCTCCTTCTTTGTTCATTCTCTCACTTTCCCAAAGTCAATGAGAACAAGGAAGGAAATCCTTGTTCCAAAGCAAAGGAAAAGGAAAAGGTCCCAGATTGTGTTGCATTGAAATCCTGATCATGCTAGTCTCCGGAATCAAAGTAGTCATTTTACAAGCATGTCATAGTGCACAATGAATACAATAAAAGATTATCACTCTTACAAAGCCCAAATGGCTAGAAACCTAAAGAAGCCACCTTTTAAAAATACTGAACTTCCTGGAGGGAGATAAGTGCTCTTTACACTAGGTCTCATCTTCCAAAAATAGTATTAAACAGCCAGACCATCTGAGACAATACAACTGGGACATGATGCTGTGTTAGGAACTATTTAGCTTGGCTTTTATATATATAAACATTTGTCAACTATCTAGGTTAATATTAATCAATATGCTATTTGAACCTCTTTAAAAATGAATGATTTTATAAGAGAATGAGAACAGCAATGTCGAGCCAAATTTTGTGTAAAGTCTCAAAAGGAAACAAACTATATTTGCAATGGAAGTCTGCCAAGTTATTACTGAAAATGTAATATTCAGCAATTTCAACCTGCTGAAAATCAGTTACATTCTGTGAAATCAATGATTAGATACATGTATTTGTTTCTTTGTGGAAAACAATAGTCTTTGTTCTGAGTAATTTGTAATGACAAAGTTGCCAATAAAAGTATTATGTTTAGTGTATGCAGTATTACCCTTTTCATAAATCAGCTTAATTTCTGGGGTTTTTTTTTAGTGCAAACACACTGACTAGTATGCATCTTTCTTTAAAAAGATGCTGAAACCTCATCTGGAGACCCAATACATCTTGGAAGTAAGGTCCAAGATCCAATGCTGCTTAACTAGATTTCTGTTAGCACTATTTTCTCTTCCTGCATGCTCAAAAATGCTGCTTCGGAGAGTGTTGGAGAAACCATTGTGGAAGATTTCAGGAAGGCATGGAACCCTACACAAGCATACAGAAACAAATTTCAGTGTAGTTTTGTATGTTTTTAAAAAATAATAATTTTGGAGGTTCCTATTGAGCATCTGTAACTTCTAATGTGACAGAATTTTAATGCTGATGAACCTTGAACTACTTTGAAGGCATTTTCTAGGATTATTTAAGAACTTTAAGCCTTTGGAGAAGTTAAGGCCAGCCTTTAACTTTTCCTGCATGTTCTGTGATAACACCGCAGAAAACAAGCAAATACAGTAAAATATGGTAACTCAACAAACCTATTTTTTTTCTCCAACATCCTGCCAGAAGCTCTCTAGTTGTGGACTCTATAGAGATTGTAGCCAATACCATTTTCCCTCATAATTTTCTTTTATACTGAGGCACTTGTTCAGATAAAGAAGTTCCACCTTATATTTTTCCCTATTGAGGCTAAGCAAACAGTTTTCATATCTAAGGATCCTGACTTCATATGCAATAGCTATACATTTCAGAAGATGTCCAGGTATTGCCACAAGACAGAAAACAGACAAAATCCCCCAAGCAAGAAAAAGGTGGGTAATGCTACATTGAGAAAGCAGCTTACAACCTTTTGTTGTTTTTTTAATTTTTGCTTTTTACAGGGGGAGTGGGGGGAGGTTGATGTTCAACACAAAGAACTATTACATGCTGCTGGTCAGAAAAGAACCTAAGAAGTAGACCTTCTGAATGCTCTCTTGAATGGCGAATCAACAGTGGCAGCTTTCCTTGCTTCTCTACTATTCCAATGCAAACTCTGGGCAGGCAAAACGAAAACAAAAAACCCCACAACCCATATAAAGCTCTGCATCAGGATCACAAGGAACCCAAACATAACAAAAGCAGCCCAAAAGTGAATTCTTCTTTCCTCAAAGACGGCACCAGGTTTTGCAGTGTGCTACAAATGCAAAGCAATGCTGATTGTTGAGTGAAAGATCTTTTGGATTCTAGCCAAGTATAATAACCATGGAAACATAGCTGTTGTGAATTCAGATTTCTAAGGGACGAGAGGTATCAAATTGTAATTGGTGCAACCAGGTACCCAAACAACCAAGGAAACTAAAAAAAAAAAAAAATCAAACTCCAACACAATGACGCATATTTAAAAGATAATGGCAAAACATTCCAGATCTGCTCCCCAGGAAAATTTAAGGCAGAAACTGATTTTCTGGCTCAAAGCCTCTTGAGTGTAGCCTTCTCCTCAAACTATCCTGGAAATATAGACACCCCGAAATCCAGCCTCTCCAGGAAGTAAGACATCCTAATAGCTCTGGAGTCACAACTGATGGTTTCAGAACTTTAACTGGAATGATCTGCCCAGGAAAACGAACAGATACTCTCTGCTCACAATAAAACAAGTAAAGAGACTCCCAATTTCATTTGCTTATGTTTGGCACCCTGAGCAAAAGGCTAAGATGTCACAATTCATCTTCCTCTTCCACAGAGAGGGTGCCTAGATTTACATGAAGTCATCGGAGTCATTGCCATCCTGTGAAAGGAAAGACAAAAAATGTGTCAGAAGGGATATTTTATGATTTTAACATTTTAGGCCACTCAGCACCACAGATTTAATATCAGAACACTTTTCTCTCTTTTTCTTCCAGTTAACTGTTGTAACTTTCTCAGAGAAAGAAATATTGAAAACACATTATTCCATTCCTATGATCGCAAAGGTTTGCAAACATTTTCATCTCACAGCACACATCACATGCAGAAATGGCATCCTAAATGTCAATTTATTGGAGGCATTCTTTGTATGGAAAGGCTGTAATCAGTGGTGGGTTTCCATTTTTCTCACTACCGGTTCGCTCGTGCATGCACAACCTCCTAACCGCCACTACTACCGGTTCGCCCAATCTAGGCCGAACCAGGAGCAACCCACCTTTGGCTGTAATACCTGAAACATTTTAGTGCAGACAAGAAGACAAAGCTGCACAAAATTATAAATGATGTGGAAAAGTGGATAGAAAAAAGTTTCTTTCCTTGACTTATAATAAGGGAATTTGAGGATTGTCCAAGGAAGCTAATTAGAGGAAATTCAGGACAAATAAAAGATAATACTTTTTTAAACCAAGTACACTAGTAAGCTGGCATTTGTTTTCAAAAGAGTAATTGATCCTTTAGAAAATTATATGGAGTGTAATGCTATCAATTACTATTAGATATAATTGCTAGGCATGACTTAGGCAAGACTTAACTATGGGAAAAGAATGATGGACTGCATCAAAAACACACCTGGTTAGAAGTCATATTCTCTGCTTTCATTAAGGAAGAGTAATTTCTGTAAAAAGAAAACAAATAGATTTTCATTATTAAGGTTAAATAATTAATATAAATGGGAATTTTGCCAGTGAGATAAGATTCAACGTGAGTGACAATAACAGAAAAAAGTAAGATTGTAAATTATAAGGTAAAAGTCTAAGTGTAGAATAAAATTGTGACAATTAGCATTCGTGACTAGATTTCAAATTTCAGTTTCTACAAATTCGAAAGTGGTTTGGCTTGAATGCTAAGCATAAGACTTATACAATGGAGAGTAAGATGCTGGCATGCTTACTTACTGAGCTTTAAAACTTTACTTGTAATATGGCCAATTAGAAACTAATACTGGCAGTGTCCTTTGATTGAACCACGTACCAATATCAGCTCTTGCTGAATTTACCTTCAAAATCTCTCAAACAAAACAACCTGAAAAGATTCCTGTAAACTCTAAAGGCACAAAGCTGCAATACAGAAAAACAAACTACAGGTATTCCTTGCTCCTTGCTTCGCTCAATTATTGAGCGAAGAAGTCGTTAAGTGAAATCCGCACGTAACTGCTTTGCTCAGCAACCACAATCCCAGCACTCCTGGTTACACTTGTTAAGTGATCTCCTGGATCATTAAGCAGACAGAATGAAAGAGCTGCCTGCCAAAGGATTTTAGCTCCACACAGAGCTGAAACTCTCCCAGCTGGTACCCATTTCATTCTTAAACATTCTATAGTCTGTCAAAGGATTTAAGCTCCCCTCTGGCATGGAAGGGAAGTCCTTGGTGGGGCTGCAGGAATGGAGCTGAAATCTTCAGGATTTCTCTCTTGGGCATAAAAAAGTTAGGCTTCCAATATATGCTATTATACGATATAAAAATAAGCGAGTTAGAATCATTGTGTCGTATGTTTCCTGACCAGTCCTGCCCTTTGTTGAAGGACTGACAATTTCTCAGATAGGATACATTTTGAGACAACTATTCTGAAATAGCAGAATGTAGTTGACCAGCAAGAAAATATCAAATTGGACCAGTACCATTCTACATACTGTGCAATTACAGAAACTGGCCACCCTGGTTGTCTGCAAGGAACTTCAAAAAAAGGGGGGGGGGAGGAAGGAGCAAAGGAGAATATTTTGATTAGCAGAATATATGGCTAGGACAGGCTGCAATCCATTCCCCCCTAAGAAATTAATTAACTAGTTCTTACATTTCTTCCATTAAAACTTACATTTGTAACAAGGTTGCATGTGAGCATTTTGCTGATTGTACAGCACAAACGGTTAACCTGCAGCATCATTAGGAAGAAGCTGAAATCTTGGCATTAACTACCATTATTAGAAAGTTTTATGTAAAGTTATTTGGAACTTTAGGGGCACAGGAGAGAAATCAAGTAAGAGTTGGGCTGGGATCCAAGCAAGATGTTGAAGAAGCCAAATCACCTCCTTTCACAATTTAAAACAAAACTCTTCCATGACCTGCTGAACATCCAAACTTATGGGTACTGTCTGTGCTTATCCATCGAATCAGACCTTCCATAGCTGCCCATTCTAGGGATAGCAAGGAAGGAACCTGTTTCCTCACTCACCTAAGTTCTTCCAGTTCCTTTTTCTTTTTCATTTCTTCCTTCTCCTTCCGTTTTATCTCTTGGATTTGGGCCTTTTTCTCATTCCTCTCCTCCCTCTCACGGGCTTCTTTCTCTGCAGCCAGATCTGGGAATCGTTCCACTTTGGTCTTTTCCAATCGGTTCAAAATCTCATTTATCTTCTTCTCCACTGTCACTATCTTCACCTTGGAACAGGAAAGAACTGTAATTCTTATAAAAAATGTAGTTGGAATTAATTTTGAATACACTAAGATTTCAATTCCCTGGGGCAACACTGATGTAGAAGCACTTCAAATGGTCATGTACTTGGAGAGCCAATATTTTTACATGTACTAAGAAAGTGGACATTTAAGAGATATTGAGCCAAGGTGACGCAGTGATCAGAGTGCAGCACTGCAGGCTACTTCAGCTGATTGCTAGCTGCAATTCGGCAGTTCAAATCTCACTGGCTCAAGATTGACTCATCCTTCCATCCTTCCAAGGTCAGTAAAATGAGGACCCAGATTGTTTGGGGCAATATGCTAACTCTGTAAACCGTTTAGGAAGGGCTGTAAAAGAAATATGAAGCGGTATGTAAGTCTAAGTGCTTATTGCTTGCTTAAGTACTTATACAATTAAGATTACTACAAAAATTATTACAGAAAGGTCACACCTGTTACTATGTTTGTTTTTACTATACATTGACTGTTACAAGCACCAAGTCATCAAAGTAAAGCAATCATTCAGAGAACTTTGATTTGATGATTTAAATAGTTACTTCTAACTGTGCAATGTTTTGATTCTCAGACTATGGATTAAAATTGTATTTGGTACCACAGATATAGGATGGATGTCAAGGACACCGAAATGTTTTCTATCCATACTGCAAAATAAAGGAAAAGAAAAGAAGCATGAGAATTTGAGATTGGGATAAGGAAACTTGGATCGGGTTTTCAATGCTTCCAGAAGCCATCAGAAACCCTCTGAAAATAGATTTCAGATTTGTTTCTGCCTTTCAAAGTAGAATTTTGGAATATTGGAGAGCAATTGCTAATTTAAGAAATCCAATTAAAGAAGAGAAAATTCTGAAACTTTAGTTGCACACTATTGGTTATCAAAGTACAGACAGGCAGGAAACCACCATTCCTTCCAAATACTGTTACATACTCAAACCCCATAAAATCAATGCAGAAAGAAAATTTCTGAAGGCTGTTCTACTGTGAGGCCTTAAAAAGGGAGAGAACCCATGGTCGTATTGACCAGAATATTCTGATTGTCCTGAATTCACTTCTAAATGTTAGTGACAGATGTTCTTTTGGAACAGCAGGACACTATCCTGAGGTTCACCTAGTTCACCAAATAAAAACATTAAGGCAGTAACTTTCTGCTTTCACTTGGTTAAAAATACATTTTGAAAAATGCAGGGGCCTCCCATCTTTCATTCACAGCCCTCTGATGTCACTGGAAAGGACTTATTTTTCCAGGCTCAGGATATTAGATCACTCTGCTGAAAATAATGTAGGAAGCCTTCAAAGTAGCCAACATGCCAAATAGCCAGCATGTATGTTCCCATTTGGAAAAAAAAAGGATACTTGCTGTCCTTAGCCCCATTGACCCCTTCATTGGAATCTAAACAACCCTGGATTGAAGTCACATGCACATGTTAGGCCTGTGGATAGATGCTAGATTGAAGCTTCGTAAACTTTGTTACTTCTACTTCTGTAATTGATGATAGTTTCAAAATAGGTGGGAAGAAGCCCCATAATTTCTATGTGATTTCAGCCAAATTTCACATATTCATGCAATTGACAACTACTTTAACTCCATATTTATTCTCAAGAAAATAATAAACATTATACTTCTGTATTATGTTCTTTATAATGTTCTGTAATGGCTGGCTCTCAATGGAATTTTTTCCATTGGATTTCTCAGGTTCTTCTACCTTTAAAAAAAAAATTCAGTGATAAAACCAAGTCCTTCAGCGATGCTCTTAGCTTTCCTAAAATAAGTTGGCTAAGAGTCTATGGAGATTCTCAGTCAACCAGGCCATGGTTCTTCCAAAGGTTGGCTAAGAATAATTCAGCGACTGGATTTCTACCAAAAGAAATAAATACATAGAAATAAAAGCTTCAAAAGGTGATAGATCACATACATTGTAAAGATTTTTTTTAAGAGCTTGGAAATCTCAGTTGAAGGAGAAACAGCAAACATAAAGGCATGAGTCTTCCTATTTGAAAGATAGTTGCTATTTTTTTTCTAATTATTGTATGGCATTTATTTTACTATGGTTGCTGAAGATATTTCTCCAAATTTCTTTCATGCTTTTATTTTCCATTCTCTCAGAATTGCATTTCTAAGTCTCTAAAGGCAAAGAGAAACAGTGAAAAGACCAATTTAAATTAAATCATTTCACTGGTCCTTAAGTCATGCTGGGAGAGTAACACAGAAGCCTTTCCCAGACCTAATTCTGTAGGGTTTTTTTTAAAATCTAGGACGGCAGAAGCTGATGGAAGACCTTGCATCATATGTTTTCCTACCAAAACACTTCTCCTCTCCCAGGTAAACAAAGGTGATCATAACAATCCATTGAAAGAACTGTTCCCAGCAGTTTTGGATAACCTTCCGAAACTATAGAGATTATAACAGCAAATATAGCTATTAGCCAAAGATGATTGGGATGGAACTTCATTGGTCAACTCTTGTTGGTACCCTTAACATGGCTGTTTATTCTGTCCTTCCAAGAAAATACGCATGATATGCTTTGTTGTTTCTTTTTTTTTTTTTTTTACCAAAACCAATTCTTTCTATTTTTATTTTTTGCAACTGGAAGAGCCAAATTTAGTGAACTGTTATATTTTTAAATTTTATCTAAACATTTATTCTAAACACAGGAATATTAGAACTCAAGTCAATCATCTTGCAATCAAGTTACTAGAAATAAAGGGAAGCCATGTATAACCAGTTGCTACAAAAGGCATCATAATTTAAACATTGGTAACGTTTCTCACACAATGTTATTCATTAGGAGTTTACCTGAGCATCATATTAGGGAACCGAATAGTTAACAGTGGGGCAATGTTGTTGACCCCTTTGCATTGCAACTTGCAAAGGTTCCAAACAATATCAGATCTCCAATGCAGCCTCAGGCTTTCCATGGGCTAGACCAGCTTTAACATTACTGGTGAGAGAAGCAGTCAAAGATGCTTCTGCTTTCCCACATACTCTTTCTGCATTTTACAGATGATTAGCAAAGTCTCCCATTAGCTTCTTGGTCTGCTGGATGAAAGTAGCTTGAAACCTTTGGAGAGATCAGGGAAGGAATAAGATACTTACATCCTTTTGTCTATGAAAACCAATCTGGCCCACATCCATGTCTGCTGTTTTCTTTAGGTTGGCCCATGGGGTGTATACTATATTGACATTATTCATTTTGCAGCCTAAAAAAGAGAGTAATTATATAGAAAAAGAGTAATTATGCCCATTTCTGGCCATCTTTCTCAATACCTTAATTAGGATCAAAAACATTTACATAGTACAAATACAGTATCTACAGCTAAGCTATTTTCCAAGAAACATGAAATACCTTTTGTGTTTCCAATTATGTAAAAGAGGCAGAAAGAGTGGGAGATCTCATCAGCTCCCACAATAATACCCAATTATGCTATATCACATCTGCTAAAAATTGAGACTCAGAGCAACTGACTCCTAGCTCCAGTTGTTCCCCAAAAGGTACTAGTTAGAGACTCTCAATCATTCATCTGTCTAACTCCTGCAGGAACAGGGAAGCAATGCCAAGAATTAAAGAGAAGTTCCAAGATTCTCAGGATGAAGTTTTGAAAGACAACAACTGAACAAACCATCTGCTTCCCATGATATAGTCAAGGAACGAAAGGAGCATCTAAATATGTCATAATTCAACAGTTAAAATCCTCCGCGTACAGCCCTACACATTTTGCTATTATTCGTTAGCTTTGAAGCATGGAGTTTGTTTATTCAAAACTGACATAAATTGAAAAGAACTCTGGATAATGCAACATTTATTGTTCCACACATATCTATTTTTTGAGGACATACTTAGACTTTGAGTAGCATACCAAAGGCTACCTTTCAAAAATGACTGTAGGACAAAGACTAGGTTTAATTTAAAATATTGAACATTTTTCTTCTATCCCAGTGGTTCTCAACCTTTTTCTTCACCACAGACCCCCTTTAAATACTTTTTGTGGTCATGCAGCGTGGCCTCAGACCACCAAGACGTAAGTCAAGATTTAAAGCACTAGACTGTATCAAATATTCACAGACTCCCTGTGACATCCTGGTATCTCCAGGGGTCCGCAGACCATAGGTTGAGAACCACTCTTTTATCCTATTAAAAATCACTATACAATTTGATGGCAATTTTGGAGCCATCTGGGAGGCTGCATACAAGCTCTTTGGGGATTTTAGACTGTTTTACTCTGACAGGAATTGGATTAAAAGGCTCCATATTCTTTACTATTTAATCATTTTAGTTTTATCCATATTTCCTCCCAAAAGCTCAACAATAAATTTGTACTTAGCCCTCAAAATACCTGAATTATGATTTGGTCCATGAAATTTTTGACTGATGATTTGAAACTGGGACTCGTTTTGTGTTTGATTCCCTAATATTGTATTGGGCCTTTTTGAACACTTATTCTGTAACCCATTTTGTATCTGCCTAGAATGCCCTCTCCAATTATTGAGATATGACCCAAGTCAATGTAATGAATGCAGATACAGCAGGATAATTTTTTTAAAGAATTATGAGATTATACTGAGGCTTTTTTTTAATCTTATGCCCATGGTGCTCTAATATTTCCTCAAGAAAAGTTTGTAGAATCTAAGGCACAGATCTGGTTTTCAAGACTAAAAAACATCTTTAAGAGTTGCTTGGTGACCTATGGTATAAGAGATCGTACTTTATAAGCATTCGGCTCAATTTGTTATAGGTTTCATGCAGTATCCCCCTTGATATAAAACAGAACAGAGTACAAACCTCAATTTTCAACTGCTCATATCTCCTAGAGGGCAAGCAGGCAAACCCAGCAGTTGTAAAGTTCTAGGTCTGGAATTTTGAGCAAACCAGAAAAATAGAAGCATTCCAGAAACCCAAGAACTTCTGGATTATAAAATAACACAGGGAGGGAGGGAGGGAGATCCCCATGGGCACCTGTTGAGATCTGAAGTAGGAGAAGAAGATGGCTTACAGAGGCAACTACTTGAATATTAACCCGAATATTGACCCATGTATAAGAGTGTCTTTTCTCTGTTCAACACACTGGTACATCAGATGGACAGATGCTAGATCAAAACAATCTGTTGGGGATAGGGTAAACCTAGAATTTAAAGAGCATGTAGTGGGCACGCTTAAGGTAGGCATAGATGTTCACAGAAATGATTGTCATGGGAGACATGACTGATCACAAAATATAAATTTATCACTATGCAAACTAATCTAGAAATTCTTTACCGTCTCTGGAGGAACTCTGAGGAGCCAACAACATTCTTGTATGTAAATGCAGTATGATGGTTGAGTTTTACCTTGTAGCATTCCATTTTTTTAAAAAAAATCTTTTAATAAAAACTAAATAGGATAAGGAACTTGATGAGCACTAAGGAAATTATCTGGAAGTTACTTGAACCCACAACTGCAACATTGCCTATTTCTGTGCTACACTCTATCCTGTCTTCAGTTACAATTTGACATCTACCTGGCTGAAACTACCATAATTACCATTGAACCTTATGCTTTTGCTAGGACTATCTTTTTCATATTTTGAAATATCCAAATGATTCATACTGTTCTAGGCTCTGAAGCTTAGGTATTCTTTGTTAATCCCACATTCAAAAGCTGTCCTCCTTGACTCCCCACTCAAAATCCTTTTAATACTTTTTGACTCACTTTCTTATATAGGCAAAACTTTACCTTGAATGCTGTTGGCCTTCACAAGCTGTGCACAATCTATCAAAACCTCCTTAGGAATATCATCCACTGTTTGCCCCTAAAATAAATCAAGGTGGATATGAGCATCCTAGGTGTGGGAATGCAGAGGACATGCTGTGAATAGTTTCACAGTCCCTTGCACTGAACTTATAGATACATAAACAAAAATGCCAATGGCTTAAAAGGAGTAATAGTATGATATAAGCTTTCCTGGACTAGAACTCATTTCACGCAAATTATGCACTGGACTGGAAATTTAAAATACTGCATCATTAAAATTGTGTTGTTCTATATAATGCTACAAGATTATTTGCTGCTATTGTGATGAACAATTTTACTACAGTATTTTTTTAAGTACCTTGATCTTTCTTACACACAATTAAATCAGTTTATGACAGATTTCACATGTCATACCAAGCCATTCATTTTTAAATCGTGGTTTGTAGACAAAAGATATAATTACTCTGGCTTCACTAACTGCCATAACTCATACAAGCTTATCATGCAAGCCATAATTGTTAAGCTGATGAATGGTACAAATCAAAAGCAAGAAAACCATATAGCTCACTATCACATCTTGCTTAGATGTTTTGAGAATAAAACTGATCGTATGTTCCATGATTGAAATCCCAGAGTTTTGCCTATCTAAACTGCATGAGTCCAGAGCACTATTTGATTAGACTCCTTTGGATAATTTTGTTTTTAAGGCATAAGGATGTAAACCAGTATACTTTTTTCAGTTCTTATTCCACGTAGCTTACTATGCCTAGTATGAAAATTATGCTCAGCTGAATCCAAAAATAATTTTAGTTTGATAAATTTCTGGAAGTCTTCCAACACTGAAAGTAGAATTCTAGACATGGTCCACACATTAAAAAAAATATCAAACCACTTTCGCAAATGTTCAATTGGGCCGTTCTTGAACACTGTAATGTTTTTGGGAAACTGCAAATTTCTGCCACTAGAAAAGGGAGATTTCGTACATAGTTATTGGTTTATAACTCTGCATAATTTTGGGCATTGTTGTTATGTAGCTATGAATGCACCATCCCGCAACTTTTCATGGATGCATGTAACTGAGCAAAACAAGCAAAGCTGGCCAGTTACCTTTTGTAGCCGGAGGTAGACATGTGCTGAGGAGAGCTTGTCCACATGAAACCTAGACAAAGTGCAAAGGTTTGATAGGAATTATGATTCAGTATCCTTCCCACAGACGCAACACATCTAGATATTGTTATCATGTGGTGTCTGTCACTTAATAGTATGGAGAAGAATTATGTCTTAACATATTAAATATCTGAGTGAGGATTGAGAATCCAAAGAAAAGGAAACCAAAGGGCTAAAAGAGGAAAATCTATCTTGAAAAATATTGACATAAGGTCAAGTACTCCCTCTAGTGATTCAGATGAAAACAGCACTGGAAATTGGCAAATAAAATCCGGTGCTTAACCTTGCCATGGCCATTTCTCCACCAATGAATAAGGCAAATTCATAAATCATCTCAAATAGATGCTTAGAGTTTTAGTATCTTCCAGAGGCCAGAACTTAATAAATCTGAGTAATGTGCTCCTTTATTCAACTATCTATTCTTTAATGGATTTCTTGGGCACTAGCATCAAAGTGAGACAAAATATTTATAAATAAGTATTTGGGGAGGAAAAAAGTGAAAATGACACCTAAGACACCAACATTCCAGCACTTTAGTTCTTATCATATTCTTGCAAGCCTCTCCAAAAGGCATTAAAAACATGAAAGGAACACTTATCACATCATGGTTACCCTTGGCAAGCAGTATTTAGGAGACTTACTACCTCTTGTAGCTGAAGCTGGGAGGGTCATTCCACTCTAACATGGTTTGAATAAAAAGTAATACCTCCACCTTCATAACTTTAATTTAGATATAAGTTAATAAATGAAATAAGAAAATAATTCTTAAAATGTCTTTTAATTATCTGCATTTACTTCTCCACATAATTACCACTATTTGCAAAAAACTTGGACAATGAACAAATTTATCAAAGCCCATCACAGAATTCCATATTTGAAAGTCTTTCCACCTCTTCTATATTTGTCACTTTAAAACAATAATTAATTAGAATGCAAAAGAACAAGGAGGAACTTTCTCTATAACATGTCAAATGGCCTCAGACCTCTTGAAGAAGCAATTGCAAAGATGGATTTCACTAGCTTACTCTCTATCCACCATATGTAGTCTGATTTGGTGCCACTTGGTTCTCTCTTTTCCCAACACTGAATTTATTTATTTGTTTGCCTATACATACATGGGTCTGTCCGACTCCAAAATAAATACCTTGCTGGGCATGCATTTGACTCAAGTGGTTGAAGAGACACTATGTGGAAGGTTTTGTGATAGATTTACGAAGCTTGGCCATCTTTGGAGTAATATGTAGTAAATGGTGATTACACATAGAAGTAAATAGAGGTAACAAAAAGACCTCATTTCAAGGGTTATTTTCGTATTTCATTTCTTAAATTATTATTATTTAAACTAATGTTATAGAGGTGGAGAATTTACATACAACACTTGTACAATAACACAAAAGCATCGAGCTGACAAGTCTCCCCTTTAGGATTCACAAGCTGCTTTCCACAGCAATTGAAAAACACAGGCTTTAAGAGCTAAGACCAAAAGATCTATAGCAGTTTCCCATCACTGTCAACTTCCAGATGTGTGGTCTCCAACTCCCAGCATTCTTCAGCCAGCACAGTTGATGTTAAATATTCTGGGAGTTCACATCCACACATCTGTTTTTGTCAAGATTGGGGAATTCTGCTCTTCAGGAAATACATACTGTACATATGCAGAAGTGCCAAAGTCTTACTATATATTTATCATTTTTATCTTGCTTTTCAACTCGAAGGACCATAAAGCACCAATTTTACTTACTAAAACTAAAATCAAATCCTGAAACTGTTTCATTAAAAACAGATGTCTGGAATCAGTAACAGGATGGGTGATGGCCGATAAGTTGAAATTCATTCCAAATCAGTCATATTATTGACTAGCAATGTTAGTGATTTAATGCTGCTGTATTAAATAATAATTGGCTTTAAATAGTGCACCTCATTTCCAGCCTACATAGTTTACTATCTTACAAAATCTGTATGAAGAGGCAAAATATAAATATTTTATATATGGAAGTAGAATCGCAAGTAGCAGTCACATGATATCTCATTTAACGACCATGGTGATTCACTTAATGAACTTGAAGTAAGGTTATAAACCTATCACTGTCATAGGATTTTCCACATATGAATGTGGCACTTAAAAATAGAGTTGGCAGTCGCAATTGTAGTTGCTAAGTAAGAACACCTCTGAGTCCTTGGGATATAAGAGAGCATGAAGAGAAAATGCAATATGAGCTTTGAGTGGAGTCTGGCAGTGTGAAGCCTGGCAGTTTTTGTGAAACTTTTAATAAATCTGTTACTATTTGAATATTTTTAATTATCTCTATGGAAGAGAATATTTACATATACTTATAATATAATTAAATTGTATATAAAATATATAATATTATATATAAAATATATAACCATAATTACATAATAACTATAATAATTACACATACACACACTTAATAAGTCATGGGTTGCTTAGCTATGATTGTTTTAGATAAACCATACTTTCTGTTAGATTATGCACCATGCTCTACATACTACACCAATTTGGTTCAAACAATCCAGTAAAAAAACAAAGAAATTGCATTACAATTAAGCATGGTCATGTTAATTTTATTTGCATATGAGATGATATAAAATGTCATCAATTTTGATGCTGAGTTAAAATTATATTTATTTCCCAGTACTCTTGTGATTCTTGCAGTCAAGTCTTTAAAAAGGCATGAAAATAACAGGGAAAATATTTTGACAGAATATATAACTTGTTTGGGAAGACTACAAAAATGCAACTGGGAGGTTGGAAACCTATTACTGGAAACTGGGGGAAAACCCTCCAAAAGCAGAAAAAGATAACAGGAAATGAACTCTTTTTTTAAAAGAAAGCAGCGTTTGTTTATATAGAGAACTAGAAAATTGACAACTGATTTGCCAGAACACTTTTACATTTGAGAGGTAGGGAAAGAATCTCACTTTTTTGGGTATGGCATAATATCAGAAATAGGATCTCATCTCATATTTTAAGTCTGAGTCCAGAAAGGATGCTAACAGCTAATTATTAGGGAGGAGAAAGATAGTTTCATATGAAAAGGGATTTCATTATACAAAAGTAGGCTCTTTTAAGTACTTACCAAATATCTTCTAGCCAACCATATTTTATTAGATCTTCATCTAAAAGAAAATGCAAAGCAAAATTGATCAGAGCTCTAATAGTGTTCACATAAATTGTTTTTTCTTTTTCTTTTCAAGCAGAAGACAAATAATATATTATGCCTGTTTCTGAGATAACATATTTTTTTAATTTTTTGTTCTTTAGTAAAAAATAATATTAGGGAACAAGCATAAATCATTTGCAATCTTCAGGTTATTTTAATGTACAGTAGTTTCAGCTTCATTTTAAACAACGTTTATATAAGAAATCAGATATATGATAATAGCCTCTAGGTGAGATGGGTGACATAAGTTATAAGATATAAATATAAGTATAGGTAAGTACAGTATAAATATAAATAATAGTTGCCTGGTAGTTTCTTGTAAATTACTACTTAGAAAGAGAAAGAGAGAAATGTTACAGAATGTCAGAGAGAAAAAAGTATGACTACTTTAAATTGTGGCTTCACCCAGTGCATATGGTAATAATACTCACCATTTAGCTTACAACTCATGAGGAAAAGTAGTTCTTAACAAAAGCATTTTTGTCCAACAGGGTTACAGAAGCCCAACTGATCTATCACTCAATTAAATATTAATTTGTACATTAGCATTTTCTTTATTACAAATACCAAATTTAGATGAATGGGAGTACAGCTTATTTTACACAGCAAGTATTTGATCACTGCACAAGGCATACAGTGCAATTTAACTTTTCACAATGAATTTTACAATATCTATTTGATAAAAGCAATCTTGAAAACATTGGTGGGTGAGGAAGATGTTTATTGCTTGCTCCAATTTATCAATTACATTATCTTTTTTAGTTGATTGTCTACAAAAGTGACACAATGTAAAACTGTACACTACACTCACAATTACTACATTTGCCCTGGAACAAAAGAAATATTCTACCTGTTTAAAGATAAAGGTTGAGAATTGAGAGGGATGGGGTGAGGGGAGTGTGTCACTGAATTAGGCAGAGTATTGATATTATTTCATTTTAATTTATTATTAAATTTGTTTCCTGTACATCTCATTATGTGGTGACTATATGAAGTACCATATATAGACTATATCAACTGTACATCAAGTACCATACCAAGAATCTTGGTTAACACAATATAAATCAGGAAATGCAATTAACATTGTGTTAAGATTATTCCATATTATGAAGAATCTATTCCGATTCAAGCATCCCCCTCACAAAATTACATGTAACTTCTATGGACAAATAAATCCACATTTTTCACATGGTACTAATCCATGTATATAATAATCTAAGAATGGTTTCCGGTTTGAGTTGAAACCTGTGTCTGATTTACTTTTAAGATACAAAGCTATTCCAGATGCCAAAGTATATTGTCACAACTTCTTTAATTTATTTGTTGAAAATATTTATATGGCCGCCCAACTCACTCACCATAATTCTATGCGACTTACAGAAATAAAACTGCAATAAACCACCCTGCCAAAAATATTTTTTTGAATTTGATTTATCTACTCTAGCAAAACTAGAGGAATGTACCAACAACAAAACATCTTATACCAATTTACTCTAAATAAATGTTCAGAGTAAATTTTATGTTCTTTCTTTGAAGTTCCTACTATTAAATCTTTATTACTACATTCAAAATTTGTATCCATATCTTTGATCTTTCCAGATTCTATTTCATCAGCAATCTATAAATATGGTTTAACAAATATTCCGAATGATAAGATTTTTCCAACTTCTCAATACTGTATTCCCCTTATTTCTGCAATTCTTTGAATATGATTCTACCTACTTGAAGATAATAAAACCATTATCTTCTGCAAGCCTCTTCTGCACTCTACCCAAAAACCTGCGAAGATTTGTCCAAACAGTTGCCAGGTGTTAACAGACTCAAAAGAACCAAATAAATAAACAATCCTACTGATTCAAACCATTCTAGACCAAGATGGCCCTATAGAGGTCACTAGGAAGTAAAACATAAGCACAGGGGTATTTTCTCTCCCAGCACAGCCCTCATAATGGAGGCAATAAGTTGTCATCATAAATAGCAAACCTTGCATTTTAATCCTAATAATTTGTCTAATCACTCTTTAAAACCATCTACATTGGCAACTATATCTTGGTAACAAATGTCATAGCTTAAAAAACCGCTTCCTTTTATCACTTCTTAAACTCTCCCATTGCATTCTACAATATTTTAATATTACAAAAAGAATCCTGCCTGTATAAGTAAATGAAAAAATAGCTACTCTCCACTTTTCCATATCATGGATATTTTTATCGACATTATTATGCCCTGCTCCTTTTTTATAAATTTTTTAAAAAACCCAGTTTTCCTCACAGGTGAGTTACTTTACTTGCTTATTTTTGGATCCTCTTTTCTGCACCCTTTAATCTTATTAGAAACCTGGTGATTAGAAGTAATAGGATTCAAAAATGGTTTTGATTGGTAGAAAGGCAATGCAATTTTGACAATTATTTTTAATTCAATTTTAATGAATGCCAAAAAGAAATTTACTTTTGGAGGTTTTATTGAACACATTCATTGTAATACCTGCAAGAAATGTTAATTAATCATTTTCTAGGTTCCCATCAATTCTTAATACCACATGCAAATGTTCTTTGCAAAAACTGGAGCTATATTGGCTATTTCCAGGTTCTATGATTAAAGGTCAATCTTAAAAACATTTTACATATTTCTGTTAAGTCAGCAGGTTCAGAGTTTCAGAGTGAACTCTTAGGAATGCAGGAATCAATACTGTAGTAATTTACTACAATTAATTTGTCAACAGAAACTACAGGTAGTCCTTGACTTACAACAGTTCATTTAATGACTGTTCAAAGTTACAACAGTACTGAAAAAAGTGACATGGCCGTTTTTCACACTTATGACCATTGCAGCATCCCCATAGTCATGTGATCAAAATTCAGAAGCTTGGCAACTGACTCACATTTATGACACTTGCAGTGTCCCAGGCTTCATGTGATCACCTGTTAAGACCTTCTGATAAGTAAAGTCAATGGGGAAGCCAGATTCACTTAACAACTGTGGCAAGAAAGGTTGTAAAATGTGGCAAAATTCATTTAACAATCGTCTCACTTAGCAACATAAATTTTGGGCTCAATTGTGATTGTAAGTGGAAGACTACATGTATTTAGAACTTTACTTTGGTCACCAATTTCTCTCAATTCTTAAGATTCCTCTTCTAAGAAAACAAAATTAGCCAGATATTTGCTCTATACCCAAAACAAAACAAGCAAATATCTGGCTAAACTTTGTTTTAGAAAAAGAATCTTAATGAGGGTGAGAAATTGGTGACCAAAGTAAAGCTCTAAATAGTTTCTATTGACAAACTAATTCAATTGGCTTTTCTGCAACTTTATCTTCTTTCACTTCTTCATCATCAAGCTACCTAATCAGCTTCTTCTTTTTGTCTGTATTTCACTTTTTTACATCACTTGTCGTCACATTAACTATAACATTTATCTCACCTCTTGTCATCATCCTGATGGTCTGCTTATATTTTTATCCAACATTTTATCAATATTGATTTGGATACTGATTTCTTAAAACTAACAACCATCCACCATTCTAAAAAATGTGGCTATCTAAAAGAAAGGGCGAGTGAATTCCCAAGCAATTGGAAGCTAAAAAGAGAGTTGTTACAGAAGATGCATAAATTATCAATAGATCACATCTTTTTGATGCAAATCAAAGGAATGTTTTACTTACTTTCATACTTGTCTTTTCCCATATAAATCGTATAAATGGAAGGAACAACTGAAGGATAGAAAAGAAAAAAGTAATCAATTTTTACATCAAACTATGCACAGATATGTAAGGTTTATCAACGCATACATAGATACAAAAGATTTATCTATATAAAAACTATTAAAACATATTCATATCCCAATGTAAAAATTACTATAAGCTTTCCTAAACTGGGGAATAACTAAATTGTGTTCTAAAAACATCAATTGCCCCAGTATTATTTTCAGATAGGCTCTGAAATATATGTTATGATACATATAGGGAAAAAAGGAAAGTTCTTTTAAAAATGTGGTTAAAGAGAGCAAGGAATGGTTAAGGTTACAAGAGGTAAAGAAAACTATTTTAGAATTGGGTGAAAAGTGCTAAACAATGAATGAATTGTATTAAAAATGAAACTCATTACATTATGTTTGAAGTGAGAAATGCTGGAATAATACTTTAGAAATTATAGTACTATACCAGATAAAATTATATAAAAGTTAGTGTTTAAGAAAAAGTTGACAGAATATATGCTCTGAGAATGCTGGATATGGTAAGACTACAGATATAACCACGACAGTTGAAGAAATGGACTTGGTTTATTTATGAAATGATGGTGTATAACATATGTATGAGGAAATCCATTAATGTTCCCTTCTTCAAAGAGAAAGATTAGTAATAACACAAAAAAGGAAATTGCCTGCTAGTCTTAGAAAGTGTTTGAATTCTGATTGAAACCATAGTAGATGTGACAATGAGCAAAGGTTTGGGAAAGGGGTTTGCACTACACCGGTTCTCCGAAAAATATACGAAAGTGATACAATTTATTGTATCTTTTATTATAGAGAGAAAACTCTACATGTATAATGAAAATAGACTTTTGAGTTTATAGAATTTTTTTCTGGAGTGGGGAAGTTACCTTCACCTTATTTAGCACGGCTAATCCGCCCTGGCTGGGTTGTTCGGGGATAACAGAACATCATACAGAGGCCACTGGATGGGTTGGACCAGGAGTCTTCAAACTTGGCCCCTTTAAGACTTGTGGACTTCAATTCTGGGAGTTGGAAGTTCACAAATCTTAAAGGGGCCAGGTTTGGGGAACCCCTAGATTGGACCAATAACTACACAAAAACCCATCATCTGCCAACCGAAACATTAGTGGCTGGCGATAGCCAGAGTCGTAATCCGTGACATCAACCGAGGAAAAGCAGTTCCAGATAGGAGCATCAACTTATATCTGAGAAGAGTTGTGAGCTTTGTGGCCAGGCCACACTTACCGTTGGACGTGAAATAAAAAACCATGGCAACACACACACAGACACACACACACCACGGGAGCGCCTTCCCACCCGCTCCGAAAGATTCGCAAACGGCCAGCGCCTTCCGGTTCTAGCGAGGCGGCTCTCAGGAAATGACGTCAGTTAATAGTTCCCATAGAGGCAATAATTGATAGAAGCAGAACTTTCCGAACATCCAACAGATAGGTTAATTTGCCAACGGTGTGTTTCACCCCCTCTATAGGCTTAGGGATAGGTACAGGGACCCTCAGCCACGATTCCTCGTTGCCCGTGGACGCGCTGCTTCCTTAAACGGAACAACTTTCTATTGGGCAGTTTTGTATAAATCTTAACCCTTAAGGAGAAAAAAAATGTTTCTTTACTTTTTAAGGGGACATATAGAAATGGGTGAGCTCAGGTTGGTTTAAGCGCCACTAATTTAGATCAGATCAGATTAACAGAGTTGGAAGGGACCTTATAGGTCATCTAGTCCAACCCCCTCCCCTGCTCAAGCAGGAGACCCCACACCATTTCTGACAAATGGCAGTCCAGTCTCTTCTTGAAAGTCTCAAGTGATGAAGTTCCCACAACTTCTGAAGGAAAGCTGTTCCATTGGTTGATTGTTCTCACTGTCAAAAAGTTCCTCCTTATTTCTAGGTTGAATCTCTCCTTGATTAGTTTCCATCCATTATTCCTTGTCTGGCCTTCGGGTGCTTTGGAAAATAGCTTGACCCCTTCCTCTCTGTGGCAGCCCCTCAAATATCGGAACACTGCTATCATGTCTCCCCTGGTCCTTCTCTTCAGTACACTAGCCATGCCCACTGAATTGGGCTGGATACATCCTTGCCTATGTGATAGTTTTCGCCTTTAGTGATAATCTGCAAATGTGCATTCTTTATTTTAAACGTTGCAGTTATCCTCTACGCCAGTAGGGCAGAATTTTCTGCTTCTGGGGAGGCAGAGAGAATTAGCAGCCTTCCAGAGGCTAATGTTCACCCAATGGATCAGGAAAATTTCTTACGAAATAAACTTACTTTCATGATTTCAAGGAATGGATCCAGGATATGGATCTATTTATCAAGAAGTTACTGTGTTTTAAGAATGAAGATATAAAGCAACATGCTGGATCAGTTAAGGATTTAATGAATGGTATATCACTAATTACTATATGGATCTTTTCTTTCTGTTAATTACTTAGCTTTTGGTTTTTTAGTCGTGCTCATTTAAATCACCATATTTTCTAGGTTTTTTTTTAAACTGATCAATAATCACCATTTCTCAATTTTTCTTTCTGTTGGTGCTAGTTGTTTTGTATTTTGCTATATTTTTTTTTAAAAAAATCCCATTATCCCTAATAAATGTGGCCAGGCTGGGTTCTACAAAGCTGGAAAAAGTTGATCTATATATTTAATGCAATATTTTATTTCCCACCATTATTATTTTTGTAAATAATTCAGGGCAGCAAACATACCTAATAGTCATTCTTCCTCCTATTTTCTGGAAAACTAGCTTTCATGCCTGAAGTGGGACTACAATTCATGACCCCCAGGTTTGTGATCTAATATCTTAATCACTAGACCAAACTAGTTCTGTTGTCTTCTGTTTCTGTATTTCGTAGTAATAATTGTGGGTTGGGGGTGGGGAATCCTTGTAAATCAAAAAGCTTGCATTTTTTCTTCTGAAACTTTATAGATCTCTAATACAAGTGTTATTTGAAAATGGTTTTTAAACAGTATTTGTTAGACTTGAGTAAATAATTAATACACATCTGTTTTATTCTCAGCTTTGAATTCTTACCTCAATTGGGTTCATGTTTACAGTGAGATGCCTTAGAATTTTATAGCAAAAAAGTGAGGTCAAAATAATGAGTGAATAAACAAGCAAATGACTATAAGCAGCACTAGTGTTTACACCAGGGGTGGGTTCCTGCCAGTTCTAACCTCTTCTATAGAAGAGATTCCACAAATTTGCAGTGCCGTTTAGAACTGGTTCCAGCTCCCTCACCCCGCCTGTCCACACATCATCAAGATGAAGAGCGAGAGGAGGAATTCTGGGAGTTGAAGTCCACAAATCTTAAAGCTATCAAGTTTGAACACCCCTGAGGGATTTTTTCTAAAAGGTTAGGGGTGCCAGGGTCTTGTAACATGAAAGCTTTAAGACTTGCATGCTTCAATGGCAGAGTTCCTGAGCCAACATGACTGGAGGAGGAATTCTGGGAGTTGAAGTCCACAAGTCTTAAAGCTGTTAAGTTTGAACGCCCCTGGTGTTTTTTTCCCCTAAAAGGTTAGGGGTGCCAGGGTCTTGTAACTTGACAGCTTTAAGACTTGCGTGCTTCAAATGCCAGAGTTTCTGAGCCAACATTTTGGTTGCTAAGCAAGAGCGTTGTTAAGTGAGTTTCACCACATTTTACAAGTTGGCCATGCCCACTCAGTCACATGACTGCCAAGCCACTCCCACCCATCACATGGCTGGCAAGTCACTCCCACCTGGTCACATGGCTGGCAAGCCACTCCCACCCAGTCACATGGCCGGCAAGCCACTCCCACAAAGCAGGCCACACCTACAGAAGAGGTTCTAAACATTTTTGAAACCCACCACTGGTTTACACCAAATATCTTTGCTGTTTATAAGTTGAGTGGGCTGAATGTAGTTAATTTTGATGTTGTCTGCTGATCAGAGAAAAGGCTTCAGTCAAGCAAAATGGGCTGCAAAAGACATTTGTGATGCAAGCATGACCTCAGATGGGAAACCCTAAGAACTTGTAGCCTAGAGGCTGACAGAGCAGTTGCTGGGCCCCAGCACCATGCTGACAATCCTGCAGAATGTCATCTCAGACTGCTGCCACCTGCTGCTGTTTCTGCTAGTTGCCATTATATTTGTGCCTGCTACTATCTGGGCGTTCAAAAAAGTGAAAAAAATACAGGTAAGATCAAATTCTTCATTGGAAGTTGCTTAAATTTCTGGTCCTGGTTCTGGTTGTGAAGAAGGGCTGATTCTAAATACTAGATATGACAAGCTGTTGTCATATGGCTCTTAAACCTCAGCTATAACTTCCCAGATCATTATCTATCTGACAGAAAGCAAAAGCTTATCTCATAAGACTATGCACCTGTTTAAATGGATATGGTGGAGAGTCTTTTATTCATGTTTGATGATTGGATCAGTAACATATTAACCAATTATTAAAAATATTTTGTGTAATGTAAAGTTGTGGAATTATTTGGGAAGCGGTAGGAAAGAGAGAGAGAGAGAGAGAGAGAGAGAGAGAGAGAGATTCTATTTTTGTGACTGTTTAGCTTTTTTTTTTTTTAAAGTTGGGAATAATTTGACTACAATAAAAAAAGTCAAGAAGTGATATTTGTAAAAAGTTCTATTCTCACATTTTTCTTGTAAAAAAAAATTATTTGCTCCGAGAAAAACAAATCACAGGGAAAGTTCATTTCATATGATTTTCCCTGCAGTCATTAGAATAGTCTTCCGTAATAAGGGATTATGGAAAATATGACTGTTTTTAAAAGTCTACTATATATGATTTCTGTTTGCTAAAATGAGTCATATGTCTTTCAAGAATGATGTCCAGAAACCCAGATGTTGAAAAAATGCCAATTTATAACAAAATAGACCTGGGAAATTTTGGCTAAGAAGCAAGCTAAGATCATACAACAAGTCTTTTTGTCTTACGTTAGTTTATTGGCCAGCTGGAGAGAAGGAGAATAAAAACCAATTAGCTCATAGTATTAATAATTTTGAGTTTTGTAGAAATGAATATAATTCTAGGTCAAGTTTAAACTGTTTTGTGAGGGACTTGGGAAGGAACACTGAAGATGCAAAAGTAATCTCAGGTGACATATTTCTTCTTTTACCATGTAAACATACAGATAGAATGGATCCCGTAGTCCATGGGTGTTAAACTCACACCAACATGGCAACGTCACATGACATATTGGGACTTTTTCCCCCTTTGCTAAACTGGGCATGGGCGTGGCCAGCGTGTACACATCCGGCCTAGTGGCCGGAAGTTGGAGAGCCCTGCTGCAGACCATCTGATCTAGCCTCATTAGTACATCCGCAACAGACAGTTGTCTAATATTTGCTTTAAGAACATCAGTGATGGAAAAAATTATTCCTTTAAATAATTATTTTCACTATTAAAGTTCTCAAAATGAACAAATTGAAAGATTCTTTTGATGTTCAGTCAAACTGTACCCTCTCTTCAAACTTGCTATTATTATATCTAATTGTACCCTTTGGAACAGAAAAGAACAATTCTTCTTACGTGTGTTCCTTTTCTTCTTTTTCTTCTACAGGCTTGCAACAAAAAGCAGAGCAGGTACAAAGTACCATGGATAGGTAAGTGATGCACACAATTTCACTTTCCTCTTTCTTTTTAATCCCATAGCATTGGGGTGCCTTGGCAATCCCAGCCAACATGTCCTTTGCTGTGAATTCTGAGGGTTGACGTCTACACATTTACCATGTATCAAGGGTGAGAAACATTGCTGTAGTAATTGGGAGGTTGAGTCTTGGAACAGCAACCTTTCTTCTGTATCTCTCCTACTGCAGCGTCCTTGGGAAAAATAAGTATCACAAGCATAGATCCAAGGAGGACAAAGGGTATAAGCTCAGCCACAGAACAAAAGTAAGTAACCTAACTTGATATTTTCCCTAATAAGGAAGCATGCGCAAAGCAAACCACTACCAACCGGTGCAGGAACCCACCCCTGCTAGTACTATCTGTTTACCTAGCATGCTTGCAGCTCCCAGCCCTAAAGACTCTAGGCAAACAGCTGGCACTACCTTTCGATGTGCATCCTCAATTGAATACCTGCTTACTCTCTTGTAATCCCTTCCTTTCCAATCTCTCCACTGGGGGGCGGGGGAGCAGAAAAATTCAGAAACAGGACATTGTATACTAACTGACTATAATGTTAAACACTTAACTGAGACAGAAAGGTCATAAACATGAACCTTAACTGCAAAGTTATTTTTTTTCTGTGCCATCATACTGTATGAAGCAGTGAGTAAGGAAGGTCTACCTATAATTAAGGTAAAAAGTCGTAAAAGATACAAGGATATGCATGATAGAGTTTCATGTCCAGTTTAGTTAATGGTTTTTCCTTTCGATATGAACAGATGGTATAGCCTTTTCTTTGCTTACTTAACTGACATAGATACTTGCCAGGCACACCTAAGGAAATGTTTTATTTAGGGCTTGGCCAAACATTGAATCAAAATTGTGGTGCAATATAAGGTATCTTAAACAGTGAGACTTCAGGGGATCACAGAGGAAAGAGAAAGGCCAAGGTGTCAAGAGGAATTATACTTGAGAGATTTTTTTTCACACTGAGGAAAGATTATACAATACAATACAATAGCAGAGTTGGAAGGGATGTTGGAGGTCTTCTAGTCCAACCCCCTACCTAGGCAGGAAACCCTATACTGTTTCCGACAAATGGCTATCCAACATCTTCTTAAAGACTTCCAGCGTTGGGGTATTCACAACTTCTGGAGACAAGCTGTTCCACTGATTAATTGTTCTAACTGTCAGAAAATTTCTCCTCAGTTCTAAGTTGCTTCTCTCCTTAATTAGTTTCCACCCATTGCTTCTTGTTCTGCCCCCAGGTGCCTTGGAGAATAGTTTGACTCCCTCTTCTTTGTGGCAACCCCTGAAATATTGGAACATTGCTATCATGTCTCCCCTAGTCCTTTTTTTCATTAAACTAGACATACCCAGTTCCTGCAACCGTTCTTCGTGTTTTAGCCTCCAGTCCCCTAATCATCTTTGTTGCTCTTCTCTGCACTCTTTCTAGGGTCTCCACATCTTTTTTACATCGTGGTGAC